AATCGTTATTATTTTTTTTGATTAAGTTTTTGTGTGAATTAATTTAAATCAGAACTCGCATTAGTATAGCTATGCACTTAAACACTAAATTCCAATAGATGAAATAATTTAAAGTTTTTTATAACTAGTAATTTATAATAAATAATAAGTAATAGATCAGTACCTACTAACTACTAAGTAGTAATAGTAAAAGTAATAATAATTAATAAGTATAGTATCTACTATATTACGTTTTAATTAAATGCAATATTATTTTATGGGCATWTTAATATATTATACTATGCGTATAATATAGTTTACGATTATATAGTCATGACTCATGACTAATATTTTTCGTTACAAATTTAGTTAATACGATACTACAGCATATTATAATATAATAAAAATAATTCATATATACAATCATTTTTATTGAAAACATTTCTTCACTTACAAAGAAATAGGATTTTATCGTAAATTATTTTCTAATTTCAATGTTTATTCTCATGTAACTACATAAAGCACACGACGCTCTCTATAGGCACTGAGTATATCCTTCTCTCTCTTTTTCTCTTCGACTCTGTTAAAGATTTATGACGTTTATATTATACATATTCATGCACAAGCAGCGGCACAAAAGGATCATTTCATTTGGTCTTGTTTGCATCCACTTGACTAAACGATTATATCAGTTGTCGGGAACTAATATGCTCGGTATAACATAAACAATATAATTTGAATAACGCAAATCTCAGCGTTTAAATATTTTCAAAACTATCATACTGTATATTTCAACAAGAAAAAAGTATTATTTATCATAAATCTCTTTACACAGATTAGATATTCACTAACGCGATTACGATAATATTTTATTTTCATAAAACCTAATCGCCTTTTATTGGTTCGAGTTTTAAGACATCGACAAACAATATTACGATTTATTTTTTTGGAAACAAAATATATTTTTATGTATTAAATACTATACTGTGTAAAAGCGCAAATGAAGTGCATCACGAAGACATGACAAATACATTCGAACGTGATGTTCGCAAAAAACAAGTTACGAGTATTGCGTACACTGCGTACAATATGTAATATGCATCATTTATAAATGATACATTAATATATAAAATACACCCGTAATATATTGTTATTATTATGTGTATTAGTGTATAAGCTAACCTATATGGTGAGACGTACAGTGTTTATTGGTAGTAAGTTAGGCATACACGTGCTGCATATAATATGTATAATATATCTACAACCTACATAAGGTTACATAAATGTTATTTTTTATTTTTTTAAATTGTGTTTGTATTTGAACCCACGACAAGTCTTTGCATGGTTGTATATAATATGTATCACGTACGATGTGATTTCGTACACAAAATTACGAAAACGATTTAAATCTCACGCGCACTTTCTTTGCACGCCGCGGTTCGGACCAGTGACCGACAATCGTGTCCGTCGTTCGAGGAGCTGATCTCGCGCGCGCCCTCCTTATTTCGGACCGTCTTCGTCGGAGTCCTCGCATTCCGAATACATCGCGAGCATTTCACTATTACAATATAATAATAATGTGCATATGAGTTATATGTTGTATGAGAGGAGAGAGATCTTGAAAATTAGTCCCCAAAACATAGCTATTAATTTATAGTTCAATACTTGATAGTTGATTCCTATTATATTATTATTATAATTATTAAAAACCTAGTTTATAAAATTATGAAACATTCGGTTTCAAGAAGAACATTCAATATATTTTAATTTATAATTTATAAGTACTTAGGTCTATATAGGAAAGGTGTAGTCTCCTTAGTTAAAATAATTTAGATGATTATTAACCATAGTCATTAGGTATTTTCAATTAAACGGCTACATCGAACAGGGTAAATTAAAATAATAATTTATAGGATAATATTCTAATATAATAAAATAGTTGAACATTTATCAACTGCAATGATTAATTTTTGAAACACTAACTGTTGTATATASTTTATGGCCGTGTTTAGAGTAATAATTTTCGTATAYCAAATCAAGAACAATATCCGATCTACAAAGATATTCGAATGCTTCATAAATCATAATATGATATTAGGAACTAAAATTAAATAAATATATTTATCAACTATTATTACAATTTTTCTCTTACGAAATGTGTTTTTGTAAATATTGTTTAAAAATTATAAATTAAAGTTTGTAGCCTGTATTAGGTCCTATATTTTATTCACATATAATTCAAATAAATTCTGTGAGAAGCTGATTGCGCAGCTACGACTACTCGTATTGCCGATATGGTTATACTCGTAAACATGCTTATGGTACTATGGTAGGCTGGAAGATAGATAATAATATTATTTTTATCTTGRTACATGTGAGAAAGTAACCTCGATAATTTCTCACAGCCGTAATACGGTCACCACCGTTTAGAGTTCTTCTCGACCAAAACTATTTACGCATCGTCTGCAGATTTGTGCAATTACTGCACTTCTGCAATGTGTCAGCGCAACGAAATTCAGACAAAATGAATCTTTTGTATATTATGTRGAAATAATGTCAAACCCAAAGCTGTTTTAAAATTTTCCGGGATTAGTAATAAACTAGTGCGGGAATCGGTTATAACAGATATATATATATATATCATTTTTAAGCTTTTTGACCTAACTAATACAATTTTATTTATAGGAAAAAAAACTAATAAAATTTAAACTGAAAATGTCAGTAAACAGCTTAAAAATTAAAACAAGTCAAAATATTTTGAAAATTTTATCAAGAATTGGAAAAGATAAAATAAACATTTGGTGTAAATTTCAAGTATCTACAGTTATTCATTTTTTAATTACAACAAATTAGGAAAATCGTTCCATGAGAAATCGAGTGAATATCCAATAATGTAAAAATTTGAATTTCAAACACTCATAAAAATGTAATATGACTTTCCAGTAAAATTTTTTTGTAAAGGTAATCGTATAAGGAATGTCAGTTAATGTGTTTCGTAAAATAAATATATTGAGTTATTAATTATACATTTTTCTAGTTTATAATATTGTTTTCGGTGAATTTAAATTCCCGTTCCACGCGGGTGATGCCATCAAACGTGCATGAACGCAGACAAAGTTGTAGTTGAAAATTATTATTTGACATGTTCAGTCTTGATTTTTATCACGTTAAATGGGTTATGCTAATGCCATCTACCCGCGGTATACAGTACTGATGAATGATGATAGTTGATGTATGCATTGAAAAATGAAAATCTACGAATCTACGATGGAAATTCTATTAATCATGTTTCGGGCCGTCTGTCCAGACGTGGATAATGGAATTCGACAAAAACAGTGATGGACGTGAAATTTTACGACGAAAATGACAGCTGATGAAGTTATGACACCCCGTTCATGGTACACGCACTGGGTACGTGTTGTTATCACTCGTCACGCCGCAGCTGACGCCAACGCCACCACCACCGCGGTGGTGCATTGTCATAACGGACATTTTTGTTTACGTGTCCCCGGTCCGGTGACGTGAACGGTTTGAAAAGTTAACAACAAAGCGGTTAGGCAACGAAAGCAAAATCCGTCACTCCGTCGTCCCAGATTTYGGCCATGCACCGTTAACACTTGGTTACTTAACACTAAAAATTAAAATTCGCGACTGTTGGCCAGTCTCGAACTCGTCTCGTAATCCGTTTTAATTTCGTTCGCTACGTATTTTATTATATAGGTATACGATATATTTTAACTAACGTATACAATAACAACATCATAGGTAAGTCGTCGTTTTATTCACGTATTAACCATCCAGAATAGGGTTAGGTACTTCCCCCGTTTCGTTTTTGCTTGCCTAACCGCCGTATTGCCGTATGTTGTGTTGTCTTTGGTTGTCGTCGAGCTTGTATCCGTGTCGCAAATGACTTGAAGCGAAAAGCGTATGTTTGTTGGTGTGCCTGTAGTAAGTACGCTGTTCGTGGGTTACCCGTCCGTCACGCGGGTGTCATGTCGAGGTACCCGACGCTGCGCAGTTGCGGCTACGAGCTGGACCGGACTATCGGTACCGGTGGCTTCGGCAAAGTCAAACTGGCCACGCACACTTTGACGGGCGAAAAGGTGGCCATCAAGATCATGGACAAGACCAAGCTGGGCAAAGACCTGCCGCGCGTCAAGCTCGAGATCAGCGCGCTTAAGAACCTATCGCATCCCAACATTTGCAAGCTCTATCAGGTGATCGAGACCGAGTCGCACTGCTATGTTGTCATGGAGTACTGTTCGGGTGGYGAGTTGTTCGATCACATTGTAGAGAAAAGCCGTCTCAGCGAAATGGAGTCGCGCATGTTCTTCAGGCAAATCATATCAGCCGTATCGTATTTGCACRACAATGGTTATGCGCACCGTGACCTCAAGCCGGAGAACGTGCTCTTAGACAGGGAGCAGAATTTGAAAATAATTGATTTTGGTCTGTGCGCAAAACCACAAGGTGGCATGGACAGTTTGCTGTTGACCTCTTGTGGATCGCCCACTTATGCTGCGCCMGAACTCATTCAAGGAGTCAAGTACCATGGCTCAGAAGTAGATATCTGGAGCATGGGCGTAATATTATACGCGTTGTTGTGTGGATGTTTACCATTTGAAAGTGACAATATTGATGAACTTTTCAAAAAAATATTACGAGGAAAATACGTAGAACCGGGTTGGCTRTCGTCGGGTAGTAAACGTTTGYTGAGACGTATGCTTTGTGTAGACCCATTGAAGCGTATACGAATCAGTGAGTTAATTAATGACCCATGGGTTAGACTAGGATTTGGTTGTCCACCGTCTACTAAAACTCATGACATTGATCGATGCAAAGACATGGAATGTCTTGAAGCAATTAGTCAACATTGTGATATTGATAAGGAAATTATTTGGTCCCGTATTTCAAAGTGGCAGTATGAYGGTGAAACTGCTACTTATTTGTTGTTATTAAATAAAAAAAAAAATGGCTCTCCAGTAGTTTTGAAGAAAAAAGAAGTACCTAAYCAACAACCAGAACTCATTATAAGAAGGCCAGTTGCTCTMCATACTCCAGGCCAAGAAAACAGAAGGGTAATCGGTCGTGCTGTTCGAAGAAAAATAGATGAAGTGACACCTACTATACCTGCTAAAATCAAAAGAAATACTAATGTTGAAACTCCACAAGCACAACCACAATGTTCATCAAATTTAAGTAGTCCTGCTGGTAAAATATTTTCAGGATTAGACCGTGTCAGGAAAGCATTGACACCTAGGCGTCGTATTACAACGCCAACAAAAAAACAACCGGAAATTTTAGATATCAAAAAAGACTTATGTAATATATCAACTACGGTTTGTAAGGATCCAGAAAAGGTGATGAATCAATTGGARAAAGCATTGGCTATGAAAAATGTTATTTGCTCAAGAAAAGGTTTTGTGCTTAGGGGCAAATTAAAGAGTGATATAGCTGATAAAGAAAAATTGAAATTATCTTTTGAATTAGAAATTTGTTTGGTGCCCTCAATGAACAAAGAAAATGTGCCGGTTGTTGCCATTAAACGAAAGCGACTTAAGGGTGACTCTTGGATGTATAAAAAAATATGCGAGGAGATTCTTAATTTTACTGGAAAGTGTGAAACTATTCCAGAATGAAACTTTATTGGTTTTTGACTATTTTATTATCTTGAAATTATTATCTGGAATTGGTTGTATTAAAATTTAAATATAGTGATAGGTTAAGATACAATAATAATTACCTAGTATACCCTGCAGTATTATTAATTTAATTTGATTATTTCAAAATGACAAAATGAGTAATATATTAAAAGGTATAGATTTTTCTTTATGTATTATATCTTTTTTATTTGTTGTTGTCTTGACCGCTTATTATTACATACACCTATGTTTATAATAAATCTTAAGGCATAATATGTTTTACTTTAATGGTGATTAAATATGTTTGAACTTCTCTTCAGTCACCTAACTATGCTTCRACTTTTTTCTTTTGCTTTGTCTTAAATTATTATAAATTAATTGTTTTTTTCCAACATTTAATAAGTATACTATGTTAAATAATTAATTTATATATTATACTAAATGATGATCAAAAATATAATATCTTCTATAGATTTAAGTTATTTATTTAAGTTTGATATACTCTGTAGCTTTGTTATAATTAATTATATTAAAATACACATCTGAATTCCATTAACAAAAAATCATCTTGTGTATATATTTTTTTAAACTAATTAAAAAATAGCCTTCTAATCCTCTAATCATATACTTTATATTTATACAGTAAATGTATATACAAAATATATGAGTAATTACTCATACTTAACAAATATGTAAAGTTGTATGCATGTTGTGTATATAAYAAAATAGWTGTTCAGAATACCGATAGAAGTTATACAGAAATCATCTTAAGAATAAATTGATAAATTAYATAAATCTTAGCATTATTTAAATTRAAATGATTTGTTATCATTGAAAACTTGATTGTATTTTAGAGGAGTTTGGTGTTATGTTAGGTGATAGTTTTTTTTTATACACTTATTTTACTGTATTGCAGATTTTGATATTAGAAAAATAATGATTAATATTTTTATTTGCAGGATGTATTCATTAAAGTCATTTGTAGTTGTAGCACTAATTTGCACTTCTTTAACCGTATTCAGCCAAAATGCTGATAGTCAACAAGCCCGGTTATTAGTATCCAAACAAGTTCTCAATAAATTACTAGTTCAAGACTCAGATATCTTAGTTAAAGTAATTATACTTATATAAATATYTTTTCCGTTTTTTACTTTGGTACAATTATAAAATCCTATTTATTTAAATTTAGTATACCATTTACAATGTGGGAAATATACCAGCGACAAATGTTGTATTACAAGACTCAGGATTTCCTGAAGAAGCATTTGCCACAGTCAAAGGAAATTTGAATATTCGTTTTAACAGAATTCCATCTGGTGCAAATGTTACTCATGCTGTCGTCATCAAACCTCTTACGTATGGGCGGTTCAACTTCACAGCTGCAGTGGTACAATACAAATCATCAGAAGGTGCTGAAGAGCCACAATTCGCAATAAGCAGTGAACCCGGTGAAGGATACATCATCAGTTATGCTGAATACGACAAGAAATTCTCCCCTCATTTGGTAAATAAAATATATTATAAGGGTGTTATTTTTTTTTGTCTAGTTAAAAATATGAATATYTAAAAGTAAGAATTAAATTCAGAATTATACTTTATTTAAACAATAGTATATAATATATAATAATATAGATACTTAATAAAATAATATATTATATTTCTTTTTTTGAGATATTAAGATTTGAAAAATATTCATTTCTGAATTTGAATAATAATGTAGTTTAAATATTATTAGTAGAATAATATGCTATTGTTTGTTTATGTTCTATAATTATAATTTGTTTTTATTGTTTCAGCTTGATTGGTTTGTATTTGCAATAATGACTCTGCCAGCTGTGGTAGGACCGTTCATGTTATGGTGGGTTAGCAAGAGCAAGTATGAGTTAATTTTGAAACAAAAACGTGAAAAAGTGTCTAAAGATTAAAATGAAGAACTTTTGTACAATTAACATTAAGGATTCTTTAGTTTAATTTTATTTAATATATGTATTTTTTATATGTATCTACTTATAAAATACCTTGATCATTTCCTAAAAAGCTAATTAGATATTTTTGTCAAAACTAATATAAAATCCACTACAGTTTTAGTATACMAAACAAATTTATCAAATTTTCATATTGAAAATACACGATCTCTATCTGTTTTTCATTAAGTAATATCAATATCTATTTTATATATTGCCAAAAATGTTATATATATATATATAACACCACAATTTTATTTTATATCATGTAGTTACATTTTGTATGTATATCAAATAACAATTTTGCTCTAAATTTGTTTATAACTAATATTAATTTTTTTAATATTAAGATAATTGTTTTTTGTACTCATTAAAAGTAGGTGTCGTTGGATGACTATATTTAATATACAAATTTATTTTTGTGTGTTGTGTTCATTTGAATTTATCTTCTGAATAATATTATTAAATTTAGATTTTGTTGAAATTTTACAATAAAATATAGTTTTTTTTTTTAATTGAGTAAAATACACTACTTTGTATTCTTTAATTAGATTCAYTTTATCTATTGATACAAGGTGTACATTTTTTATGTTAACAATAATGAAAATGGTTTCAAAAATAAATTATATAACTGTGGATGTTTTTAATTTTAATATTATTATTAAAAATAAATACTGTTATGATAGAAAGATGTATGACAAAATACAAAAAATGAAGACTTAGTTTTAATAGGTTTTTATGTACAAAATCATAWGAGCTATTCATTGTGTGATGTAAAAGAATTTATCTATTTTCCGTCAAAAGAATTTAATTTGCACCATTTATTATCGTTAAATAGATCTTCATTTTTTATTTGTAGTTCCAAAGGTTAGGTTAGGTATTAACGTATAATACTTAAAAATACACTTCAGTTGTTAAATCAACATGTAATAGTCAATACATATATTCATTGTTCCATTTAGGATGTAAAATATATACAYCAAAATATTCAAAATCAATTTGATTTTTGATTGAAAATGTGTTTTAAACTTTTAAAGTTTGAAAAATATAATATTGCATAAATTTAAACCATTTCAAAATAATAATTTTAATCGTATTTATGTGCATAGTGCATACCCAATCATTGTAACCTTATATTATACTTATATATAATATGGAGTATTTGTCGGAATTTAAGCAGTAATGACTAATGACTGCCTMGCTTTCTCTATGTAAAAATGTGTTTAAATAACAATCTTCATATAACGATTAATAGAGGGAAAAACGTAACGGCATAGGTGCATATTGTGTACACTAAGTACTGACTACTTAGTTGCCTTTTGAAGTTAAAAGTTTGTGACGAAGAGTGTAGGTACTAACACGCGGTAATTACACAATTTTATACTTTCATTTAGCATTTTGCAGTTGATGAAATTGTTAAGAATCCCCTGGACAGATCGAGTGTCAAATAATAAAATCATATAGGATAATAGAAAATAAATMAACCGAGGAAAGAAGAAAGGAKTGGATAAGATGAATAATACATGTAGCTAACATTTATTATTGAAAGCAAGAGGAAGACCGTACGGCAGTCATGAAGAAAGTTATGTTGGAATATTAGTAAAGGACCTTGTATAGAGAATTGAAAGAAGTTTCTATGATTAAATAAGACTGATTTCTTCCAGTATTCTCTACAGATTAAAAAGAAAAACCGTTTAAATTGTTAAACGTTARGGTAGCCWGGTAGGTATATTATGTTTAAAATTGCTATTCCTCTGACTCGATATCGTTTACTTACGGGATGGGTTCGAAAAAAGCTCAGCGAGCGTTGCAGAGTAGGTCTATGGTGCCAAAATTTGATTTTATTTATAATTTGGACTCGGGTTTTAGTCCTACTTGGCTTTACTTGGATTTGGCAGCTACCTAATAGGAATAGCTGTTGGCCGTCATTAGGAAAGTGGTGTAAGCACTCGTGATTGCATATTCACGACGCCGCAACACGATTGTATATTATTTTGCTGGTACGATTGAAACAGTTGACTAACATTCGTAATAACAATTAATTAGTTACCGGTAAGACGAAAAAACTAAAAAGTCGTAGTGACTGCGTGCACTGGTGGCTGCTGTGGTATACTGCCCATCGAGTTCAATATTATTAATTCCATATTAAGTCGACATTACATTTTTCAATAAGATGTTTGGGTATACACTGTAAATATATGTAGGTATACTRTTTTAAAATTGTCAAGTGGTGTTGATATAAGTCCATTTCAAGTACGGTTCTATAGATATAGATTATTTTTCCCTAAACACTGCTATAAATTATAATAAAACGCTAAATATTGCTTCAAAAATCTACCTATCCATCCAAACCATTTGCCTCATTTACGATAGCTGAATGCGTTCATATGTTGGTTATCTTGAACAGAAAAAAAGACGAAAATTTTTACCAGTATAACAATTAGTATTTAGTAGTATCAGCTCTCACATAACAAAAAGTTTAAAATGCCTAACACTAGTAGGTATACTCATTTATATTGGTAATTTATTATACGCGTGTGGATWTAGCTAGTTGCTATACATCGTTTGAGCCGTTTTCATCGGTGCAAATTGATGGTCAGAAGGTAAACCTCAATGATCTCTAAAACGAATGAAGAAATTATTTTAATATTCTCCTTTATAAATACTGCTGAGTGCTGATAGAAAAGTAGGTACCTACTTAAAAATACTGCAGTATACGACAAGAACAATATATATATTATATATATATATTTTTTTTAAATAAAGATAGTAAGAGTTTTAACTAAATTATGTACCCATTTTTTTTATTATCGGCTGGCATTATTTAAAAAARATTATAAACAATACTCAGGAAGAGGACCACCTATCGTGACGATAGAGGATATTAATATATATTATATCAATTAAGCGTCATCGTCAACTATGTTAATTGGCATTTTGTAGGGGGTTAATTCAGGAACACGTGTATGCGATATGTGTGTTCATCATCGAATACCCGCCACTCGGGTGGTCCTAGATGGGAGCTAGTGACGTTGGGCGATGCTTGACCGAATCACACGCATTATAGTGACTGTGGCCAACCACCGCACCACACCAGGTAAAATATACAAAATATTTTTGTAACAATGGAATTTTGCAATAATGTGATGACTTTTTTTTTTTAATCTCATTTAAATATCTTAAGTTGTTAGCAAATTTATCTAACATCCGCCTACGTGAATACCTACTATTTATTGGGCCTGTATTATAATACACTTATTACGTATAACATTATTATATTATGTTATATTGCGATAATAAAATTATTACTGTAAACTAATTATGCATTTATATATTTTTACACTAGTAAACAACTAACAGTTTTACGATCTCTAATCAGTATAATACTATAATTTAGTACTTTAATGAATAGGTACTGATTATTGACGTGGGAACGTCATAATAATAATGTGCCATATTATAATATTGTATTGAATATTTTTTAAATTATAATATGTCACAGCGTCGAAGAGCGGTGATTTTGCAGTGGCCTTAACCCGAAGATCGAGGCTGATTTGGCGTATATAGCGCTGATTATAGTATTTTACAAATTATTTCAGATACATACTATTTATGTAATGCGTTGCAGTCTGCAGATCATGTTCACTGTCCAGGTATTTTAAAAATATATTATCTATAATATACCAAATCAATATCAAATGTTTGTAAATATTTTATTTATACACTGGTAACAGACATTACATATTATATACCTAATATGTATACAGACACGCAGTAATAATATATTATATACATAGGGTGGGTTACCGTTATTTGCTCTTTTTTCACATAAGTACGCATAATATATTATAGACTTATAGTTAGTGTKGAAAAACGAGAAATCGCGGTGGGCAACCTGTATAAAATGTAAAAATGAGAAATTAATAATAATTATTGGTTAAACGATCAAAACATTACATAAAACTCGGAATAAAATTATAGGTACAGGTACAAAACTTAATGATATAGTAATAATAATAACACCATCCATTGAAATGAGAATCTCGATAAGTATTCTTCCTGAAATCATAAAAAAAAACGTGTAGATTTCAAAAAAATAGTTGTATTGCCGTTTATAAATAAGCACCTATAAACTACTTTGTATATACAGGCAATATTTTTTAGAACGGCGACAGGAGACTACGTGCTTACTTTTCAAGGACTTCGCATCGACTTCACCGATTCCCGAGTTCTTTTTGGAATCCTCCTACCGATGTGCAACGCCATTTCTCCCAGTTTAATCTCTTTGAATACAGCTATCGCTTCGCGATGACTTAATCCGTGCAACGGCTTGTTGTTGACGGCCAGGATTTCATCACCTGAAACATTATTGGTATTATCAAAAACCGTTTTTTTAATTTTAAGATGCATGATAAATAATAATTTATAATATAATATTGTAGTGTTTGACGTTTGTGTTTAAGACTTAAGAGAACGGCCCGCACTCTATCAAACAGAGAAGTGTTTTATCACTCAACATGGGGGGAGGGGGCTAATTGAGGACCAAGAATTTACATAGTTGTATTTTAAATCTATTTAAAATTGTATTAACATAATATGTTTTTACTAATATGTAAATCATTTTTTTTTTTATCATGTATCAATTTTCATCTGAAAGTATTAAATAATTATAAGATAGTATTAACAAAAATTAACTGTTTATTAAAAAAAAAAATCATATTACATAATTAATTCCAAGTTTCTTTTTTAAACTTATTATGAAAATCGTTCATTGATATTATTATCTGTTGGGGCCATATTCTTCAATGAAGATATTTTATAATAATTGTTAATAGGTGTATCATAATACTTGTCTAAGAAAAATAAATAGCTTAGTTCTAAGTGGGGGGGTTAATGTCGCCACAGCCCCTCCTTTAAACCTGTCACTGCTACCAACAGGACAATAGCCATAACAGTGAAATTGAATCAACTCAAAACTAATTTTTCGATAGATTCGCAACATAAGTTTGTATTATAATACAATTGATTTGGAATTTCATAAAACATCGGCAAGATGTTTATCTCAAATCATCTCATTAAATAAGACGTTTGAACTTTTGAAGTAATGAAGTGTATACATAAATTATATAGGTATAGTATTGTAGTAAATTAGGTTTATTTTGTTAATCGAAACATACGACGACAAATTTCGATATTTTATAATTTCGACAAATTATTCACACGGTATATTCGGTACAAGGTAAATAAGTACACTTTCAAAATGTACAATATTATGTTGTATTATATTGATACTATGAATAATTGTAACATAAATATATAAGTAATAAATAAACAAATCTACAGGTAGGCACCATAATAGGTACTTGGTTTTTATAATACTAATTTAAAAAAATGCATATTACTCAGTATTTCTTTTTTATAAAAGAAAAATCAATGAATCATAAATAAATAAATATGTTTTTGTTTTTAAGTGCCTAACTTTGACAGCAAAAACCTTATGAAAAATCAGCCGGACACAAAAAAATCTCACATCCAGCCTGAATTTGATTTTATTGATTTGCATAGCGATAAACAAAAAGTCACGATAATCGGCTTGAAAAAAGTTGTACCAAGCCCATAAGCATATTATCTATGTTAAAAAAAATGGAAGATATCTGCAAGAATTTGATACCCATTTGAAACTATTGTATAAACTATTGTTGCTCGGGAAACGGGTACTTACAGAATTTCGTTCTACAAAGATTTGCGTTGAAAACACGGTGTCTAAAGATTGATCTGAAATCGGATGGAAAAGCTCAACCCTCTCACTCGTCGAAATCTCAACCCCATTACGACTGATTTGTCCCTCCGTCGGTCCCGCCACCTATACCATTGTTGTATAATAATATTATTATACATTGCACCACGACGACGGTTCGGTTGCATAACTGCAGTTTACCGGGCGTACATAATGCGCGAATTGTGGGCACACGGTTTCGACGTAGTTCTACGTTATGATCGTTATTATTACTATTATATTGTTCCCGCGCACGGGTAGTTAATTTAACGAGTGTGGATTAGACCGATCGAATTACGAATGATGTCCGGTAACGGGACCGCCGCCGATTGATTACACGACCGACCGAGTGCGTACTGTACACGTGTACAAAGTAATAGTATAATGATATATTATAATATCGTAGTAATTCATCGTGTGCTGCGCTTCCTAATTTGTCCTATACATTTTGCGATCGCCAGTAGCGGTTCGTGCGTTTTAATTAACATCTCTCGCGCTCTACAACCCACATAATATTATTATTATCATAATTATTTATTACTGCACGACACTATATTATGTCGTTTTGGGGCGTACAYGGTCGTACGTTTTGCCATTATTATTTGTTATTATATTATGTACACTATTACGTATTATGTGTATACGCGCATCCGGTTTTCGGAACGATCGGAAATAAATCGCCGGTCGCGCGAACCGCGAACGACGATTTTTACGTAAAGACTTGCATGACCGCGCAAGTCTGTTGCAGGATGATGCAGTTCAGCCGGATGCGGATTCGGCCGGGTGATTCGATGAAAATTAAAAACTACCCTCTCTTATTCGGTGTAATTTTCAATAAGTACCTACGCGTGCATGTTTCTCTGGAAAAGACGTGTAATCGAAAATAATWATTATTGTTATAATACGCTGGCGGGATGGTTGCGTATATTATTATGTTATACCTACCTACTAAATATTATGTAACAATAATATATAGGGTTTGTCATGGGCGGAAAACCGTTTTGTAGGTATGTACTATTATGATCACATTAAAGTATATTTTTTTTTACGTCGTAGTTTAATCGATTCGTGGAAAAAAAAAGTCGAGAATAATAAACGCGGGAGCTGTTATCGAGCTTCAGACGGCTGCAATATAATGTATACGGTATATACGTATACGCGATATACGCCCGTCGTAAACTATTGTGTAATAATAATATAATATATTATGCTCGTACAACACACGGCAATATAATATGTAATCGTTGTTGTTTAATGTTCAACAGTGGCTAGCCGTGATGGGGGCGAGCTTTGGCCATTTGAACGGGAAACAGTCTCGTTCGATTTTTTTCTCTCGCGGTTACGGGTGACGATGATTTTTTTATCGTTTTCAACTGTTAAGACCGTCCATTATACGCACCCAGTACACTGTAATATACACCCTGAAACTCGTCATTCGTAGTCGAGCTCGTGGAATATATTATAATATTATTGAACGGGATCCGATGAGTGATGCGGATCGGAGGTTTGAGACGATGCTGAAGAAATCAGGTGTAGATTATATTATTTTATACAATATGCTATTATATCTTAAAAGTTTCTTCGAAATAAATGGCAAACAATAAGCCGTGCAGGTATTCATTTTCTTCTAAATATCGAAAATGGCAAACATAACTGCACTAGTTCTCGCGTACGTCCCGATCATATTATTAAATATTATATTGTATTTAATATCTATATATTATACGCGATAGGCGTAAATATTATTTTTAATTTTTTAATTTTTTTATTATTAACATAAAGGCTTCAATTACAAAGATTATTAGCCTAATAATAATAACAAAATGTTAAAGTTTTACAATATGAAAGTTGATATTATCATATTATTATAGGAATACAATGTAAAAAATTATAATATTTACAGTTTTTTGTTTAAATCTTTAATTTTTAATTTAATTTTGGGTGGTTCGCCACGTTTCTTCTCGTTTGTTCGTTTTAAACTAACACGCGGGAAAACGGGAAATCGCTGCGGTGGTGAAAAACTCTTCCGTTTATAATAATAATAATATATAGGTCCATTGCCGGAAAATAATCCCCAGAAAAAAAATTACTAACATTCAATTCACTAATTAAGTTTTAAATGTTATATTATTTAAACATTACAAATTGAATTACACTCAATTTTTTACGGTATATGTTATAATAAAAATAATTTTAAAAAATGCTTGTATAAAAAAAAATTTTAAATACAAATTATAAATTCAATCACATTTCATCCTTATATTATGTCCTAGATAGGAATAATACATCAACACTTAACTCTGCCCTAGTAAGTTGTTCGCATAGATTTTTTAGCCGAATTTGCGTTATATGTCCTTTATGTGATCGTTTGTAAGTTAATTGCCCAATTTCGCTTAATGTTAATTTAGCTTATCGAGCCCCCACCTCGTTTTTCATAAAATTTTTATTATTTTCCATATCGATGGATTTGTATGCCCAACCAAATGACTAAACCTATTATTCCATTCCTCACACACGTTATTGGTAAGTAATGGTTTTTTCGCTGTTAGCCATAGGTACCTATTAGATGAAGTAAAAATATTACTTATACAATATTTATATCGTAAATGAATACCATCGTAACTTTATTTTTTGGGCTTTAATGAGAAAAACTTGTGTAAAAGTAATAATTTCTAATTACTTGAATAATTAGTTTCAATAAAAAAAAAATTAACAGTTGACGTATAAGGTACAACTATGTTTTTTATTGGATTTTATTAACGGATACATTCTGAGACGTTTTTTTTTAGGACTTTTTTCCGTTTACCCATTGTATAGGTATTTATATATAATAATAATAAAAAAAAATGTGTTATGACGTTTACTACATAACACTGCACAATCCTATCACGAACTTGTACATATACAATATTATTATAATTACGAGAAAAAAAACGCACGCGTGTGACCGTATGAATTATTTATGCTCACATATCGTATTGTTGTGTGTATAATATTATAATATAGATTATACGGTGCTGTGTAGGGCGCGTGTACGGTGTGTGTCCGTTCGTACCCGTACGGCCGTACAATATACATTCAGCATTGTACACAGCACCACATATATAATATACATTAAACAATTTACACACACATATATTTATATATAATACAATATGTAGTACATTAGTACAATACCTGTGGTCCGTCGTCGGCTGTCTGCCTATAATATTATACTCTGTGCGCGTATTATACCTATAAAATATGCGATGACGGATGACTCATAATGTACGGTTTTCTGGACGATCCGGACGTGCCAGCCAGCGCGACAAAGGCRCAATGAACCCGATACACACGCGTTATAATATTATTATTTAGGTAATATATTATTTTATTGTACGATTGATATTATGATATTATAGCATTGTTATTTTCATCTCTTCATAATATACATATTATTATGTTTTAAGCAGATGCTTTTGTATATCATGTACCGATGTATATTAATTTGTTTTAGTTCTTTATATAGTGTGCACTTATTACTTATATACTATATGCGACGACCATATGCAATTTGATCTACTACCTCTACTTATCTATAATCAGTATAATCTATATACTACACATTAAACATAGTAGATGTAATAATGCATTAACACCCTTGTCTCATGTATATGGTATTGTCTCTCCGGTAATTTTGATGCACCTACCATTACTACCACACTACCATTTATACCACATCATTATTATTTTATTTTATTGAATCTCGAAGGCTCTCATCTAGTTTCTTCGATAGTCTCCAGTGATTTTATAGTTGAAGTGGTTCAACACTTTAGTTTTTTTTAACGGATACTAGTGCTTGTATAGTCCCTTCTTCACCTCCTACTATTTAAATTTAGTATATTTAATTACCTATATTATATACACTTCTATCTCGTTTCTAAAACATTTTATCCTCTTCAAACCATTCACGTTATTGTATATGACACTATACGTGATGAAGGAATCTAAATTTCAGTAAAATTCCAACTCGTAAACGCCGTGATTCATTAAACATAACATAATATTATTTTTTTATAATTCGCGGATGATTCGCATGTAATATCTTTACTCTTCTTAAATCCTTTAAAATGGATTTATTTTATTCAAGTTTTTTACTTTTGTAATTATAAGTTTTCACTTAAAGAAAATATTTTCAGATAGGTACTTAGATTTTTCTACCTCTTTTAAGAGTGATTTCTGGTGATCCAAATTTTTATTCCAGTTTTAGCTATATAAGTACACTTTATGCCCGTGTACCTGTTTCATAATAACATTTTAAAATTTTACTGCCATTTAACAAGATACGGTTATTAGGGGGGAGGGATTTTTCGTTTTTTTTATCAATATGTCAATTGATCGACTAATCTCCAATGTTTGTAAAATTGTAATATATCATATAATATACTGCATGAAACAATTACGGTGTACTACAGTGAACAATTTTTATCGAKTAATAAAATTTTTTATTAAGTATGGGATCCAATGGAAAGAATTATGATATTACCAGTTTTATAATTACTAAATAAAACATCGCTGTAATGTATACCTATTCAGGTGTAATAAGAATAGGTACCCAATTTTTATGTTCAGTGTATCGAATAAAACATATTAATAATATGTTTATGTCTACAAAAATGCGGATTCTTCGATGTAATAGGATACGCGTCATATTATATTTTATAAAATGCGTTTGAAAAAAATGACGTAATTAAAAGTAAACACGTATACTTCGGAAGACGTACACGTTTTTTTCAAAAGTACTTAATATAGTCATAAAAGCTCAGAAATTCGAAAGCGTGCTGTAAAAATAAATAGCTAAATCAATGTATACCATATATTATATACAATACTTAAATATTATATTATACGGAGTAATTGAGTTTGACGTAATATCGTACTTGCAGAATATACAGGATGAGACAATTTTTATTTTTCGCTTCGGGGAGTACAAAATTAATGCCGAACAAAACAAATATGTGCATTACACACATATAACACTCGATGTGGCGTTTTATTTTTTTGAAGGTTTTATTGTAAAATTTACAGTTAATAATAATTGTTTTACTGTTCAATATCGGCAGACAGTAATATATAATCGTAAAAAACTCAAAAATTGACACTATTAATTAATACCTCTGTAATGTAGTATATTATGTGTCAGGTAATATGAGCATGTGTTTTGTGTGTGTCGTATGTGCGTGTGCGTATGTTTGCGAATTTATATCAGTCCTTGAAATTGCGATTACATAGGAGAATCGTAGATAATATATCGAATCTAAACGTACGTTATTAGTGTCTACGCCCCGCTGATCCTGTACAAAGCTAATGCCGGACGAATAATTCTGATGAATTATATTTATATAGTACAAATAAAACTATAGATTAAGTTCCATAGGCGTCACTAAGTGGTATCGAGGGGTATTTTTGCTACCCCAGAAATTGTTTTGGAGTAGAAAGGGTAACATTTCGCTATCCCTAAAAAAGTCTTAGATTTAAAAAATATATTCGATGTTTATTATTCAAATGTGTACGAAAATAGACTATCTATTATTTTGATTGTGATTTGTGATCATAATAACATTAATTAACTATATTTTGTGATAAGTCCAATATACAGATGATTAGACAGTGTATACACCTTATATACGTCATACTATACTGTATAATCAATGGTTATATATTACCAAGAATACGGATAAACAAGGATCTAACATCATGTTAGTTTCTATTTTCTATATTGGTCCGTGGTCATAACTAATAACTGATAAATATTTTTCACAAAGATAAAGAGGTAAATAAACACAGAATTCTGTATAATATATAATATATTAATATATTATATGTATAGAAGTCTGTGAATAAAAATGCAGCTATCGACGAATTTTGTGCTGACAACAAACGTCGACTTAATTTAAAATAATAAATATTTTAGTACTCATAAATTTAATAACTAATATAGGTATCAATGTTTTCTTAATTAATAATTTGTTCTTATATTGATGTCAGTTAAAATTTTAACTATACATGTGCATTTTTATTATACAAAATAATAATTAAACCTATAAAAATTATTGTTTTACTTTCTAAAAATAAACTTTACTGCTCCAGAATTTGGACTCTAGTGACGTTCATGTGAAGTTCTATGCCAAAAACGATATTCGAATTGATAACATTTGTAAGTAGGTGGATATATGGGTAGGTAGGTATAATAGTAATATCGCACAAGCATTTATTTGCTATAAACTATATTTTATAATCTCGAGGTGGGTTTGACGGCAAAGTTTTGAGAGCGCCTAGCCCATATCTTCGAGGTTGGTGGATGGTATATACTGTATACATAGAAGTAGCTTAAAATCGTACCTATACGGCTATACCTCTATATATTGCTCACCTTGACCACACCAAACTATATATATATATATAACATATAAGTATATAACACTTATTTGTTTATCTGAACTGATGTAATATATTATTATAATATTATGTATATAGGAAGGTAATAATTGGAAATGGGTTTTCGTTTTACTTTATCGCGTGTTCGTTCGTTCTTACATCAATATTATAATTTATACGTTTCAAAGTATCCATCACACACTTACTTGAATGAATTTTTTAAGCACAAATAGTGTTACATCAGCAAAAACTGTTTCGAGGAGAGCACCACAAATATAGCTCGCAAAACTATTCTTAATCACCATATGAATGTCAATACGATAATTAAGTGGTGTCATTTGATGTTTGATAGGGGGAAGGGGTGATAAAATGGGTTAATTTTGATAGCTTGGCTGGCTGTTGGTGTGACTGGGTTAACCTACTATAATTGCGATTACTCTTTGACTTTCATATGAATTTCTTGTAACGTAGGTATATTAAAACTATTTTTTTTTACACATTAATAGGTTAGATATAGACTAAATAGGTGCTGCTGGTACTAGAATAATACATATTATAATAGTCTGCAGTTATGATAATAATAGTACGAGTTACTTAGAAATATTTAACACAATATAATAATGGTTCGGCAAAACAACAATGTTGTTTGATATTCCTTTGGTGCATATAGTAAATATAACATATTATTATTGCAATAAAATATTACCTTCTTTTAACGTCTCCTTATCGGCTGCTTGTCCATTCGGAAATATGGTTTTCACGTAGATGCCCATAGTACCTTTTGGCGAGTCTGTGCCGCCTACAATGCTGAAGCCCAAGCACTTGTGGCCCGGACCTTTATGGAACTTGACCGTCATTATCGTGAAACCTGCATCCTTGCCGCCGCCCCGCGGCAACGTGTAGAAACAATTGCCGTCATTTTTTCCGCCCTGTGGACACGATACATGGTTATTAATGAAGTCGACGTACACAATTGTCGCGTATATTATTATATTTCCAAACAACGAGATATCGTATTGTATTAGTTCATAACGAATAATACACTAGGGACGTGCGACTGTTTTCGTCGCCGGAAACGGAAATYGTGTCGTGAACAGTGTAGGTAAATATATTATGTTAAAATACGCCACGGGCACTAGGCTGCAGTCAGTCATATTATTACGTGGACAGTCTCATATGTGGTGTATAATAAGAGGTGTTGAAAAGCGATTTAAATCGTTTCAATAGGTAGACAATATAGAGTTGTGGATTACGCGAACGAAACCGAGGACGCGGGGACCGCGAAGGTTATGAATTTATACGCGTGAATTCGGTGGGTGTATATTTATTACTATTGTTATTATTACTGTCACGCACACACTCATATATATATATATATATATATATATATATAAATATATAAAGTAATGCTAACCTAATTATTTGTCGAATTAAAATGTGTCTTACACCTTATGTGTCGCACACTGAACCTATATTATACACATTATATAATGCTCTCAATGCTGCTGCCTGACAGCATTGAGCATATAAATTGTAGGTACGTTTGTGACTGCTCGAATTGGGACGAGTGAGTAATTACATTTGTTTTTTCTACGGAGGAAGTTACTATATAGGTGAATATAATATTGTAATTACTTATTTATTATTATAGTGTATGTACTTGTCATACAATATATATCCACAGTAATTATTATTGTATTACTGTTTATTATAGTATTATATTATATATTCGTTTATATTAATGATACAAATAAACGACTGAACTTACGGGGTTGTATTCATCGAGTGGAAATTATTCATGATGTATTATATGTGTGAGAAACAATGAATACTAAATTTGTGTCTACAGTGAAATGTTAATCAGAAAGTTTTTGTACTTATACATATTGTATGGTGGATAAATTATACCGATTATATACTTACATAATATGTAGTATCAATATACAAATCACCATATAAAGCGGAGACGATTATCATAATAATAATTATGCCAAATGTTTGTACATCATAATTTATAATACAGCGAATAAAATAAATACGAAACTCCAACTAATCTTTTAAATATTCTAAAGCTTAAAAACATATTGTTTTTTTACCTATGTAAAAAATGTTATTATTCCATTTTAAGAGTATATTGCGATTAAACTGAAATATATTTTACGAAGATTTTGGGTCATACCTATACAGTATACAGTCACTAGTCAGTACARGATTGTTATATGGTAATTAATTAAGCATACAAAAGATAATATTATAACTGTTAACATTTGTTATCTGTTTGAAGTTTCTACTAAATTTCATATACGTGACAAGTATAATTTGACGGTATTTTTTTTTTAAAGTACTGTCATACATTTTAAATAATATGTAGACACTGCCTTGGACAGCACCTGTTAAATAATATTTTTTACAGTGCGATCAGAAAATGTTTATATTTAAATATTAAAATATATCTTTACATTACATACAAAAAATAAATTGATATGTACTTGTAAATAAAGTACTGAATAGTGTAAGTTATCATAATTTGTTTTTGATTATATCTATATTATTTGAATTTGGTTAGCAAATAATTATCAATAAATATTTTAATTAACATAGAGGCAGCAGTCAGTAATATTTCATATGTGAGTATTACAGAATAAAATGATAAAATCAATGATTATTTTTGGAATAAAGACAACAATTGATACGAGAATATTAATAATGCATTTATATTTTCAAGCCACGTTTCTATAGGTGACGATATAGATCACATATTGTAACATTGACATCACGATTTGTCATCTAACAAATATATAATAATATGAATATATTTATCATAACTATATTCATAACCAATGAATATCAGCAATCTAACAAAACTTAAGAAAATAACCACAAGAAAACGTGACTTGTATATTATATTTTATGACCGTTCAAATACATTTAAATGCAATGTAATACCTATAGATTAAAATATTAAAATAATATATTATATACAATTGAGATATAAAATGCATTTCAAATGTTAACTGAATAAATTATGACAATGTTAGCAATTTGGTTGTTATCCTAAATGATTTTAGATATATTGTATTTTTTAATATTTTAGAGTATACTATTATTAATTCATAAACTATATATTATGTGGTAATTTATTATGATATATTGATATATTATATATTACCTACCACTACAATTTGTAATTATAATTTAGGATTCTTAGGATCTTTATTTATTTCGAATATAAATCTAAATCTATCAAAAATTAAAATCAATGCGTTTTTGATTTATTGGCTCAACTTAAATTTTGTTAACTTTTAAAAAATTACAATGAATGATTTCAAATGAAACTGGAAATGCTTGTACAGAGTTTACCTATTGTATATTAGATATAGTATATACGTATACTGCAGATATAATATATTAACATTGAAACTTTTTTTAAAACAGTTAATAAAAAAAATGTATTGCCTTAAAATTTTAACTTAGTAGGTAGTCAAATGGAATATTCCAATTATTAATTATTAAAACGGTTTCAACTGCATTGAACAAGTATATTATGGAGGGCCCGTCAACGTATTTTAAATTGACGTAAAACATCTTAATTGTCCATTAATTATCCTTAAAGAAATCGCACCGAAATCGATGATTTGGAAAGCTTATTTTACTCTCCAGAATTGATGTTGGTATTCTTGGTAGTTGATTAAATTTTTTTTTTATTGAAATAAACCTATGCAAGAATAAATTAGAATTGATGACTGTTGTAGGCACATTGAAAAATGTAATGGGCATATGTTTTATATTTATAACACATCATTTATTTGTAATTAAGTCACCGATTATCTTAAATACCTAGTTTAAACGAATATTTGATTTATTTAAAAACAATGTTCGTTTATAAAGTAATGTGTTTTTGTTGCTTAATATTATATTAATAAAGAATTTATTACAGGCACCGATCATGAGATTTTAGAAAATTTTAATTTTACAAAAATTAATTGTAAAGAAACATCAATACATCGTAAAACTAACAATATTATTGTTATTTTATCGTTGAAGTAGGTATATTCTATCGTCGTAAATGATATTTATATTATTATGACAATTCTTTCAATATACACATATATAGGTACACACTTAAATGGCTATTATATTATATGCATATTATAATCGTTTAAAACGTTTAAATCGACTAACCTGCAGCACACCAAACTGTGTATACTGAAAATGACCTTGAACAGCACATTACATACTATAGTAGTATAGTGTACCGTATACGCATAAGCGAACACAAAGTATTATAATAATACGTTTAGAGAAACAACACGAATGTATTATACGAGCACCTATGAATTATAAAATCAGTTCGCGACCGCATCCGTCGTCGTCGTCACATATTAAAATATGGCCGCGTTGTCGTATATTGTTTATAGCCTTATAGGTACGGCCGGGAAGACGACCACCTAGGTATATAGAAGAGGTTTCGTGTGAATTTAACGTCACGTGTAAAATAGTATGTCGTGTCGCGTTTATTTGGTTTCGCGCGCGAAGACGGAAAGACAAAAACGCCTTATTCGTCTAATTGTGTGATAGTAAAAGAGCGAATTTGCTGTATCGTAAAAAAAGATAGTAAACGTACAGACGTGTTGTACAGTATCTACTGATAATACCTATATACGTATATAATACACACGTATATAAGCGAGTGCGATATAATATAATTGTATATATTAACGGTATACGTTTTCCAGGATAGATTGTTCTGGTGTATGTCGTGTTGTGTTTAGTTTGTTGCATGTGTGTGTTCGCGTATGCGCGTGTGGTAAATAATGGGGAGGTATAAAAGTGTACTAAAAGTTTATATTATATACGCAGCGTTCCCTCGATCGATCGACGGCGACAAGTTAAAAGTGCGAACGGAGGTCTTTTTAAAGACGCGGCTACAGCTAGATCAATAATATTATAATCTTTTAGCGTTTTTAGTGGATTTCCCCTCTCTTTTATAGTTAGAAGAAAAAGAGAAACTTCGCAGATTATTCGAGTGTTAATAATCGTGTGAAACGTGTATACCTGCTGTACAATAAGTGTACAATAATGATAGCGCCGAGCAGGTTAGGTTTATATTATTATGTACCAACGACTATAAGAGAAAGATCACTCCAAAAATCAAAAGGGACTAAAAAGTAAAATGCGATGTTTATATAAAAGAGAAGGTTTTTAAATATAATATAATATATATTATTATAGAGACGTATACATTTCTGCAGTTGATATACATCGAATGTTTTTCAAAGGATGAGCAGACGAGATGACATTTATTTTCGGAGAAGTTAATGAACAAAAATCTTACCTGCAGATTGTCTCGATGACAATGGTCCGCCGGAACGACGCCACCGCCGCCACCACCGCCGCCGGAATCGGGAACGGTGGCGCCGGCTGGCGATGCAGCCCTCCCGTTGAACGTGCGATACGGGTTCCTGCCGCTGACTCTCGCCGAACCGTTTCTTTCCAGCCTGTCAGCCTGCTGCTGTTCAGGCGTCCGGCGGCGGTGGCGTAAGCGTTGTTCATCCCACTGCAACGCTTCCGGTATGGCTGGAAGGTCGACTACGGTCCTCTCTGATGGCGGTGGCGGCAGCGGAGGCGGTGGTTTGTGTATTAGTGGCGGTGGCAGCGGTGGTGGTGACGATCGGGGCGGCAAATGTTGTTGCAGCGAAGGTAACTGTTGCTGCTGGGGAGGTAACTGTTGCTGCAGCGGAGGTAACTGTTGCTGCAGGGAAGGTAACTGTTGCTGCAGTTGCGGCGGCGTGTAGGTTTGCTGCAACGACGATGGACCGCTGAAACGCGGACGACAGGCACCGTGGCCGGGCGTGGACGTGGACGCGGACACGGCACCGCCGATCATGAACGCTTTGGCCGTCAGTGGCGTGTCCAATGCCAGCGAGTCGGCTTGCGACCATCTCCGGCACGATCGCATCTTCGGCTTGTTCTGTAACAGCAGACTACAATTGTAATAGTCGTCGTCGTCGTCGCCGTCACCGCCGTCGTCGTTGTAACCGTCGTCGGTGTCGTCGCCACTGCAACGCGTTGGTCGCAGTTTCGCGTTATTTACGGACCGTCTGACAACGAACGAATGAGGTCTGCAGCTGAGTCTGGAAACGATCACGTGAAAGGTTTTAATTGGTTAGATAAAAATAATAATATTATTTAAAACGATGATTTGTTCTCGTGATGTATCGTATTATATTATTATATTGAACATTGCGTAAGTGGAAGGTGCCATATAATTATACGGCAAAACGTTTGCATTTAATTTTTAAATATTATTATCATCAATATTATTATTATTGTTAATAATCGACACGTCGGGGCTACGTGCAGATATTGTGCAAATAAAAAAAAGTCCACGTGTTACCGTCACGAACCAATACCGTTCCGAAAAACCATTCAATATTGCGTTTTGTGACTGGGGTAGTTAAAGTGTACAATGGTTTACCATGGATTTTTAGTTTTTACGATGCGAGCAGGTACATATAATGATGTATTATATGATATATATATTAATATTATCTAATACGCGTAATAACTCAGGAAGGAGATGGGTACGTCCTAGAAACGTGTAAGTCACTCGTGCAAATGAATCGACGACGCTTTTTGCGCAATATAACACAGAACTTTTCGATATTTAAATTTAAATTCCACTATTTATGCAATAATAAAATTAAAAACTCATCTCAAACTGTATGATTTACTGAAGTAAAACAACTGTTCAAAATACAACACGGGCTTAAAAAAATTAGCGACCCATAATTCGTCAATTTTGCAGAATAATGTACAAAAGAATGTTCGCTTTGTTACTAAACTAACACAACAAAATAATATAACATATCAATTTATGTCTTGTTAACAAAAACGGGCATCTGCACACGTGATGTGGGTACTCTGTTTGGCTATTGCCGATAACATCAATAGTATATAATAATATATATATATGAAGTTTATTATATGGGGTAAAATATAATCGAGGTGATTTTCGTGGAAATAAAAACTTCTCGACCTTTATTATAGTAATAATTCCCGGCGCAGGAGATTTTCGTACATATATTATTATATACGCGGACAACATTATAATATATAAAAGTGAAAACCACGGGATGTATAACGTATATACGATTTGCCGATATTTAGGGTGTGTGAAATGGTTATAATAGCCAATATCACGTCGATTCTGTAACTGTATGGCGAATTTAATATTTTTTCATAAATTCAAACAATATTATTGTCGTGTTGAGATTGTTATTATATATTATTATTCAATATTATAACAAAAGCTAGAACGTGTGAGAAAAAAACAACGTCATCCGTTTAACTCGGGGAATTGGTTTTTTTCGATGGTATCGATCATCATTTCGGGGACATATTTTGACGGACATTGTAATGATATTGTTTGCTTATTAAAAATGAAATCGATTTCCTCAATTGTTTTTATCAACTATCGTGGTCAATCGTGGCCTTGAACGTGAGCGATTTGTAATTTAATAAGTTATAAACAAATCACACGACCACATAATATTATATATACACATCACATTATAATATAGTATGTTGGGACGTACTTAGAAAAATAGAAAACACACACGCACACAGTGCACATAAACACACATTTACACAAACTTATAAATGTTATAATGCAAAGAATCCGTTATGGTGCACAATTTTTCGGACTCAATATTAGTTAGTCGGATTATAGTAGCGTCAACTATGCGGAAATCGCAGTCCTTCTAATATGTTAAATCCATATACAACGCCTTTATCAACAAGTCGTATCCGAAATGTGTATTTGATTAGAGTCATGTGGGTTGCAAGTCATAACACAAGTCTCCAGAACGAAATGGCAATGTGTAAAGATGAGTTTGATGTATACAATTTGAATTACCACGCCGATTGCGGTGTGTCTTGTTTTTCCATAATTACGTACGTTGTATGCATGGCTACGAGTGTAAATAAGAAATAATATTATATATAAAGATATAAAATAAAATATAATATAGTAATATGGATTTGAATATGTTTTTGTAGTCCGACTTACGAACAAAACTGTTTCTTTTTCCCCCTAATTATATAAATATGATAATATCTAATACACGATTCCTAATTTCGTGAGTATTTTTCTACGTCTGATATGACGTATACTATAACATGCGCATTATTAAAATATGATATCATGATTATTATTCATTAACGAGAAAATAATACACAATAGAAAAAAAACCGTGTGTTGATTACAACAAATTAAATAAATTAAGTACACACACGAGTGGAATAAAATTGCTTACATTTAAACATTTTTTTCTCTCGACATACGCAGGATTTACTGTTGTGTAACCCATAATTTTTTTTTTATTAATAATATCATATAAGTACGATAAGACAACATATTATAATATATTGTGCTTATAATATTGAATAGGCACTCTCGTTAGGTAATTACTAATCATCATAATTATTCGCAGTGGCGTTCTCAGGATTTTTCTATGGGGGGGGGGTCTGAAAATTTACTTGAATTTAATAGAAAAAATTTAAAATACCACTACTATTTCTTTTCATTTTATAAATCAAACAATATTCGTACAATCGATAGAATATAATAGAACGTCAGGTCGTCAGAACACAATTGTGAATTGTCACTTTTTAATTGAAAAAATACGAAAACGTTTATGATAACAAATTGTAAATAACCAGCCGAAAAATGATATCACATAATACGGATTAGCGATAATAACGAACCACACTTTGGTTAACACATAGAGTTGTTATCACTGTGTTGTTATTGTTATCATATAATATCATAAATATCAATAATCATGATAAAGAAAAAATATCAAAAAAATAAAAAATAATAATAACTTGTCACAATTCACAAACATATAATATCAAAAGTAGACAAAACGTGTATTACTAAAATGTAAGAAAATAAAGATCCTTGGGGGGGGGATCTATCCCCCATATCCCCCCCCCCCCGTGAGAACGCCCATGATTATTCGTAGGTCGGTTTAAATGTATGATATTATGTATGTGTGTCCCTCACTATATAAATAGGTACCTGCAACCATAGCTTTTCCCACAATATTATTATCTCAGTCGAAATCTTCTGATTAAGATAAAGTCGAAATTCTACTGGGGTAAAAATCAAATTGTGACTACAGTAGTGTGCTGCGTGTAACGACAAACCGTTATTTATTATCTTTTGTGTGTGAATGTACACGCCGATCAATTCGTATGGAATTTACTTTTGACTTTTATTGCGAAAGACTGCCCCGATGTACGCGCTATTCATAATTCATCGTTATGCTTTTTGATATTTGGAGTTTCTCAGCGAGGTATCTACAGGAGGAGCAGTTGGAGGGTTGACTGTATGGTGAGAATATGAGAGAAAAAGAGAATGAATGGAGAGGTCGTACATATATACATGCGTGTATGTGTGTGTGTGTGTGTGTGTATATAGTAGTTTTAGAGATATTTATTTAACTTGTTGGTTACCCCAGGTGTTCTCTTTTATCTTTATGATGCTTATACATTCATATTTTTGAAACCTCATGCAATTACTTAAACAAGTAGAATATTTTGTGCGCAAGTTTCAGCGTAGATTTATAGTCGTGGCAATGTAGGTAGGTACTACGGTATTTATATATAATGCAAGCTATTCATACCTATCAATTTTATCATTTGGTTCAAAACCATCGTTTAATGATATTATACATACACAATATCTGTGGGCTGAATAATTATACTATATCATTATTTATTTTTTTATGTGTGGAATATTCTAAAATATATTTTTATTTTTTGGAAACTTACACTAATTATTTTTGTTCATATTTTTTTAGGGATACTTTAGTGGGCCAGATAACTTACTTCTATAGCTAAAACTATAAATATAATTAAAAAATTTAATTCTTTTTGGGTGTTAATTTAATCCATACTCGTAAATTGGAATTAAAAGTGATATTTTTCCATAGACTTTAGGTATTTCCAGTATAAAAGGGTCTATGTATTTTTCACATATTGCATTTTTGAATTACTGCCTCCTTCAATATTGTTTGTATAAATTCAAAAAAAATTATGATTAGTTTCTATAGTTTAAATATACCTACAAAACGTATACTATAACTTTAAAAATGTATAATTAATAAATATGTGACTATAGGCAAAAACAATTTTTACCATTTTTTAAATAAAAAATAATTTTAAAAACAAGAGTAGTTTATACTAAAAATATATACTAGGTATATCACATACATTATACTGTTATAAAATTCAATAAATTAGCAATTTAAGCAATTCAATTTTTAGATACTTAAATATATGTAGATTTTAAAAGCTAAAATATAACATTCAAAATGTCACCAAATCATTCTAAATAATATAATTCAAGTGTCACATTGCAACGAATTGATGAAAAAAGATTATTCCGTTTAAATTAAAATGTTTATAGCCGAGTATGTACAAATAACAGATAGTAAACTGTAGAGTCAAATGAGAAGAAAATATGTTATTATAATCATAAGTGTCGTTAACAATTATATAATAAGTGTATAATGGGTGCTTATTTTATAATCTATTATAAGTTGATAATCGAATAATGTAGAGAAATCGATTGCTAATGATAAGTTTTATTTTGGGTTTGACCAATTATTGTTATATTATGGCCCACCATGGAATGGGGAGAGGAAACTGGGAAAGGTATTTTATTAGATGTTATTGGGAGTTTCTTCTATGATACTACAGCCATACACACAACCAAAGCTTCTTGTAGGTACAATTAATTTTATTGGTTATAAAACTAACGATTTTTGTTCTGAAATAGTGTTTTACAGATACAATAACAAAATTATTACTTAATCTACTTTACATACTGGACACATTCACACTTAATTGTTCAAAGTGTTTTTTAATTTATGTATGAATCATTCGGTGGTTATCATAAACCTGTTTTCTCTAGTAATAGCCACTCAAAGTTCACTCACATTTCAMAGTCAAACAGCGACTCTTATGCGTCAACAGACGACAATGATTTAGTTGAAAACACATATTATATATATTGATATGATGCTTTGAATGGAAAAAAATATTTAAAAAAAAACTACCAAAATATAGGCATTAGGTAGGTTGATTAAAATATTTGTAATGGACAAAACAATCTAAACGTCTATGAAAACTAAAACTTGAAACGAGCATAATAATTTTATACGATATTGAAATAAAAATATATTAACCCACGATGTTTTCGGAGATACCATTTTAAGTTCAAGTATTCAAAACCGTTWGGATAAAATATAATGAATGCATTTTTTTCTCAACATATTTACATTTGTTTAATATATAGATTACATATTTGATATAAAATGGGTATTTACGCTACTATATAAGATGTGCTGTAGCAGGATGCATCATCCAACGCAGATTTTAAGTGTTTTAATGGTTCAATTACAACACACGCTGAATGTTTTTGTATATATGGTACATTATACTMGGTATAAGTTTGAATCGCATATTATTGTCTAGCGAAAAATATAAATTATCGTTAAATATTTTAGCCCATTTCGTGGATAATATTATAAAATATTATTGAATGTCGAGAGATGAGTGGGTCATCTTATAAAATGGGGAATTCGAAATCATAATATATTTTATAACCGAACTCGTTTCAGATAATATCTACACTATATGATAGTGTAAGATAAAATGAAAATATAAAGCGCCCTGCTAACAATACTTATGTAATGTAAACTTCACGCCCTTGCAATTTGCAGTATACCTATATAATAGGTACTTATACATATGCATGAAATCGATACACTATATATAATATCGATACTTAAACTATCGTACTACTCACCGGTCGGCGTCGTATCCGGTGGCTGTCGTGGTGCTGGCGATGCTGTTGTAACCGTGGTCGCTGTACGACACGGACGACCGGTCACTGCCGGCGCCGTCGTCAGCGGTCCCACGGCCGGACGAACCGCAGGATGACGGCGTCTCGGCGACGCGGCACAACGATGACGGTTGCAACAGCCGTTGGTCAGTGGACAGGTCAAACGTAACGGGCAGCGAACACGGGCCGGCGGTGTCCACGTCCTGTCCCAGCAACGGCGACGGCACGTAAAACGTGGACGACGTGTCCGAGGCCAGGCTGCACGGGCGCGCGCTGCTGAACAGCTGCACTTGCGGCCGTCGCTTGTAGCTGATGTTCAGCATGTTCAGCCGGGTGCGCAACATGTCTTGCACTGTGGCCGCGGCCGCTATTGTCGGCGATAGCGACGCGGTCGAGTCGTCGGACGACGATGGTGACGCCGGCAACAGCGGCCCGTCCACCGACGCCGATTTGTCCTTGCCGGTGCCCGTGTTGAACGACGAACACCGTCGTCGGATCTTACGCCACTTTTGGCCCATGTTCTTGTTCCACAAGCTGACGTCTGCTGAAACACCGCAAAAACGACAGTTAATAATTTTGGTGATCCGCTTAAGCGTATACGGCCTGTAAACTTATAATTTCGAAAAGTTTATTTTAACAATATTTTCGCATAAAAAAATAAAAAATATTTTTTACTTTTAACGAGAATTTTCGACTTACAAATTTTAATAACTGTACGTATGTTGTGCAGGGTTAGTAAATTTTTAAATATTTTTGTTTTTTAAGTTTAATATTTAAAAATGTATTTACGCATGTGACGATTAGAGCTTTTACGTAGGTTTGGGAATCATTGCTGAATCGAAGTTAACTTATATTATAATATATAATATAATATTAAAATTAATATAATTCAGTGTCCCCAAACGAGTATTACGAGTGTGTTGGGATTCTTTTCGCGCTTCTTTCCAAGTCTAGTCAAATAATATACTTATATATATATATCTTACACGATAAATGATAAAAGTGACGTTTGTACCTAATAATATATTAATATTTTATATAAAGCAGTAAGAATACTATTCAGTTTACGTCGATTGTAGATATAGATATACCATATTATATGACTATATTATAAATTATTTAAAATAAAATAATTGTGGAACGATAAGTATAAAATGCGAGTATGCTCCGAATGTGGTTTATAATGCATTTATTTATTTAATCCGTTTGCGGTGGCCTCTGCTTTGATAAAATGTCCTACAATTTCTTAACGCCTACGAGTGAACTCGATGAAATATGTGTCCGTCGTCATTGTTTTCGTAACTCGCGTGTGTCGTACTAGAAAACTATTTTTAATACAATTTTATAATAATAGGTGGTTCAGAGAAGAAAAACTATAATATTCGTATCTACACGTAGGTCTTAATGTTGTTAATTGCTGTATTTTCGTTACATTACACGTTTTCATTAAACTCTGATATTATAAATTATTATGTATATTATATATTATAAAATATAAATGATCGTACATTCAAGTACGCATTGTACATGACAACGTATAGCGCAGAGCGGTTCTTGTATGTGTCGGAAAGTCATTTTTGAAACACAAATTCAAATAGTTGGTTTGAACAAAAACATAATACACATAATAAGTGTATAGTTTAAATGTTGAATCGAATTTACGATTTTATTAGGTAAAAAATTGTATTTTAGTAAAATATATTTTTGAAATGATAAAATAAAAACGATTAGCGGTTGTACCTTACGTTTCAATAATACTTCAGTTATTCGTATTTGCAAATATAATGGTTGAAATGACTCGTGTAATGTACTTATATATTTATAGTAAATCGTTGCGAGTATACTTTATTATGTATTTTTTTATTTGTGTTAATTAATAGTTTTCAATGATAATTATTGTTGATATTTAAAACGAAAACATCTATGGTTCATTCCACGATTAATAGAAAAATATAATACGGGCGTTTTAAAGACGTGGAAAAATAGCTTATCGATTGAACAAATTAATTTTGAAATAAAATAAAATCGGCTTTTTGAGTTATGGTATGGCATTTTATCATGGCTGCACGCGAAGGTTCGAATTAAATGCATTTTAAATTGTTAGAAATGATTAAACAATTAAGTCAACTATGATAAGAAAATCAATTAAAGTTTAAAAAGATAGAACATTAATATTTTTTGATTATTTAATAGATTATAAAAGATCAAAATGTCAAATGAGTATATAAATAATTTTCATAATGTGCATATAAATACATTCATTCAGATAACAGATTGATGTTTATTATACACTGATATTTAGGATTTGTAAATTCTAAAAAAAGTATGAAACTTAGTAACTAATTTATTGGATATTGTATCATACACATTAATTATTTATATTGTATATACTATTAAACGTGACAAGTAATGCCAGTGGATATTTATAAATTATTTAGTGTTGTATAGTAGATCAATTCATAAATTCATATTAAAATAATGCGAATCAGAGTCTTTTAGGAATAATAATATTAAGATAATGAATAATGCCAAAATTTTCACACATCTTTAATTGCCGGTAGTTTTGTAGTTTATTCATATATCTGGATTCTGGATGTATATTGTATATGCGTATATGTATATATTATATTGAATATCATAAGTTTTGGTCGTGGTCGTTATGTATAATTGTGAACGATCACGACCAGAATTTATGGTAATTAATATAGTATAATATAATATATACATATATATCTAGATAAATAAATAAACTATAATCGTGAAACAAACACATGTCCAATGTCTTTAATGTTATGTTCTGTCTTTTAACTGTGTACTGTACATTGTACATATTGGTATCATTTATTTTAAGCTAATGGTTCTGATAATCACTTTATGTGTTTAAATGTAGCGCGTAGCAATCATTGATTAACATAACCATGTTATGTATATATTTTAATTTTTTTTCCAATAAAAATAATTTCAATAAAGGCGTTGGCCCCAAGTATCTTATACACAGAAAAAACACACATACATAATATATAAGTGTATGTGTGTGTATACTGTGAAATATGATGTATATTGTGCAATACAATGGAAATATATTGTTAATTTTTATATACACTCAACACTGATTGTATAAATATTTTAGATTTTTCATCAAATAAATTTATCATAAATCATACGTTTTATAAAAAATTACTAAAATATAATATGATAGGCAAATACAATGTATTTATTTATATAAAATCTAAATTGTTTAAACATCGATGAATGGGACTAGCTATAATCATTTGTATGGACGTAAGGAATGTATTTTAGTTCTGACACCGATCGCGAAGAGCAAAACAAAATCTTATAACCACACGAACGGTTCGAAATCGGAATTGTGGTATACGATGAAATATTAGTTAAATACTTCAAGCAATTCAATACTTGGTGTAATAAATTGTGTTAAATTATCGCATGGGTATCCGATTATAGATAGGTATGTGTGACGTTACACCCAAGTACCCAATAGGACGTCGATCGTCAAATAATTCTCGTGAGAAATCTTTTGTGAATTGTTTAATATTTTAATAAAATATAATATTGCGTGTTAACAGATATTGAAATCGAGATCAATTATTAATAATGAATATCATTCTTTGCCAAGATAGTAAGATACGTTTTATTTTTCGATTCTTTTTTAGGAACATATTATATGAAATTATGAACACATGTGACAATCATGACCGACCACCGGGTTGTTCGTTAATAATATGTATTTTGTAACGGGTGACACCACATGCCCGTATGAGGCACCGCGCTGCAGTACCGACGTCATTTCGTATGGTAATTATTATTATTTATTATACACATCATATTATAAAGATGATCTAGGTACGGAGATATTACTCGAATGTTTAGAGATCCTATTATCCTAATATAAAAACAACATTTTTCATTTTACACATAAATATATTATTATTATTAAATTAATTTATTAAAAAGCATGACTGTATATTTTTTTTTAAACAAAACTTTAAGTAGATATATATTCTATATTGACCTCGAAAAACACATTTAGAAACTTAATACCGTTTATGTAAGCCAAATGTGTTGAATTACTTTACTTTTTATTTATAAATAATAATGAGTTGATTGTTTGTACATTTTGAAAACTATTCAACACTATATAAGATTATACATTTTCTTTAATTAGTTCAAGTTTTCTGCAAAAAATTACCATAAACTTAACCACAATATTTAGCTTTGTATATATACAATGTATATTGTGGACGACATTATTAATAAACAGTTAGTTTTAATTCAATTGAAATAACTATAAATAAGTTAAATAAGTATAATTACACTTAAAACTAGATTTTGTTCCTCAATTCAAACGTAATTTGGAACTTCTAGTTAGCGATTGAACTTGTTTACAAAAAGGTCCACCATAATGAGATGGTCGGATGATTTGAACTTCATCAAGTAGTACACAAAATAAACACACGATACGTCGACGTGCTAGTTAGTGGTTTATTCATAAAGTGCGGGGTAGGATACGGATATTATTATGTTTATTATGTTGTATGGAAAACGAACCACACACAATTACGTGCAGATAGTAAAAAAAAAGAACATTTCAATTGAAAATATTCTCATTTTTTTATGAATATCATCAATGTCAAATATTATATTATACTGTCATTGAATTTTTACCCGATTKCCTTTCAATTAAACTTAAAGTTATTTTATTCAGTATTATACTTTTGTATAATACCTACAAATAAGTATATAGGGTACTTTGGTTTTAATCGAACTTACAATAACTATAATAGGATCAATTAACTAATTAACTTTAAATTTTAATAAATATGATGTTATAATACACTGTAATACTGTATTATAGCAAGATCTATAAAGAATATATTCTTTATAGATCTTGGTATCGTATTATAGTACCTATTTTTATAATAAACTGATTACAATTTACATTTGACAAAAAGATATATAATAAGCAAATATTTTGTAGCCAGTAATGTTAATTAATAATTACATACAAGTAATTTAATATATATGTTAACAATAATAATAATAATATCTAATAATGTGTTTTTTATTGCCGAATAATAATGTAACTACTTATGACCTAAGTATTTATGCCATAATATATACCAAGATGAAGTTATTTGAAAAGTTATTCTTAGAAATATGAAATATGAAATTGTCACTGTTACAAGTTAGTATAGTTATAATGTCGAACTAAAAGGCAAGAATTCAAGAAAATACGTCTTTAAGCTTAAGCACTGTCTGACCTTTGTAAGATTCGCCTCGGTTTCATAGTACCGTATTATTGAAATGTACATTTTCATGTTGCTATTGTTTTACTTTATTAATTATTATAGTTAAAATGATATCCCCCACTATGATTTGTGATATATATATATATATATTTTAAATTATGTTTTGTAGTAGATATACAAATTACAAATGTTTTTAATCATACGCGTTTCTTCCCTATTATTATAACTTTATAATAATCGATCATTCCTTCCTTGGTTTCTATCTAACTCATTGTTC